CGAGTTTATTACGATAATCTTGGTCGGTACTCATACACAGTGTAGGCCTTATACTCCCCCACCCCTCCACTGCCGTCTTCCTCACTACCACCACTCACCAACATTCACAAACTGCACAACTCTTCCACAATTTACCTTGAAACGGTGCACTGAAATGTCTTCTCGCTTCACTGGAATCTTCCCAGAGTATTCACAATAAGTCCTGTTGAGTCTTAACCTGGTGAGCCTCGTTGATCCGGAGTTATAATTGAAAATCCCGCATCTAGCCCGCCACACGTCTTGCCCTGCCAGCGCATGCTACAGCCATAGGCTTATTTAAAATGTTTTTATTTTTCGTTTATTTTCAGACAATTGTATTTTAGGTTTTTCCCATTTATAGTCTCCTAGTTCCGGTCTTTTTTAGATTACTTCCTTTATGTTAGTAAAGGTTCCTGCCTACATCTGTAGGCTTGTTACTCTACCCCAGTGGAAATAAGTCACTCTGTCTGACTTTTTTGGGTTATCCTAGGTTCTCTACACATATGCTGCTATGTATGATAATTCTATGTAACTGTATTTGTGTATACCTGAATGAACTTACTTACTTACTTACCTATAATCTTGCTGTCCTCTCCATATTCCTGTTTCCAAAGCTCTATTCCTTTAGCCACAGCTATAAACATGTTCTTGCTTTTCCAGCACGGCGAAGATAAGACAGATCACCATTGTGATGAGCCTCAACATCTTCAGCTGCTCCTTGGTGTACTGTGGATTGAGCCTCAGTGGCAACGCATACAGCTCTGACCCCTTCCTCTACGTCGTCATTGGAGGTCTAATGGAGGTACCTGGGTACACACTCAGTGCTCCCATTATCTCCCGCTGGGGCAGGAAGAAGCCTATCATAATTGGCTGGTTCGTCAGCGGTGCTTCCATTCTTTCTCTCGTCTTTATACCCAAAGGTTAGTAGCAGCATGTGGTTCATAAGATTAATGCAGTAGCTTACGACTGATCTACCTTGCCACTGATCTTAAACACTTCTAATTGCCCTGGAACAAGCGTCAGGTTATATGTACTCATCTAAATATTTGAGTACCTTCCGACTACAAGACATACTGTCTTATGACTCACGAAATCGTAATGACACGATTACAAACAAACCATATCAGGTATCCCTTTGGGGATACCTGATATGGATGATTGAGAAACATTGAAAACTCGCGTTTTTATAATGCTTTTAGTGACCCCTTAAAAACTTTGTCAGAGCTGCCACACTTTATCCTCAGTGTATATTTTCCTCTACCATTAACTTCCTCCAACACTATCATGTATAACTTTAGAATGCTTTATCCAGGTGCCCTCAAATTTTCAACCGTGATCAGCTATTACTAGATAAACGTTTGTGGAGAAATTAACAAGTGAAGGCGCCCCTCTGATCATTGTTGTATAGACCATTCCTGAAAATGATTTCCACGAAATAACTTTGGAAAGCCTTTTCCGATCAGCTTCAACAAGAAAGAGGTTGGTGTCGTTAACGGAGTGTGTAGGAGCCATTCTGTCATTTTTGATCTCAAAAAGGCATAGTAATATTTTACATTATATAAGTGGATTATGCTTCATTTACTATAATGTAGGTCAGCTTACTAACCAGTGTAAATTGTCACACCCCTTGCCTTGGCAGAGAGGTGTTAGAAATGTGGAAGACTCCTGGTGCCGGATGTCACACGTCTCATTGTTCGAGAAGTCTACCATTTGTGTGATAACTGTAGGCGTCAGGTCTTAACACACGTTTTATACATCTCATGGTGGGGAAGGGGGGTTGAACCCCAAAATCTGGAGTTTAGTCGAGTGCTTTAAGGACCACATAAGCTCTAAGAAACAGCTAAAGGAAGAGATTCTGGCGGAGATCTGGCCTGTGTGCAGAGCTCTGGGCAAGAGATTCGGGCAGAGCTGCTGAGCTGCTGCCTGTGTGCAGAGTTCTGGGAGAGGGCTGCTAGAGTCTCTGGAGGAGACTGTTGAAGACACTGGGCTTGGAGCACTGCTCCAAGCTCCTAATTTACACTGGTTAATTAGGTCTTCCTTTTGACCTCACAAGCACAGTTCACCTACATGACAGCACGAGAGTGCCTTGACACTGGTGAGGGGCTCTTGATTCAAGGAGTTAACTTGCCCTTCTCTTGATTTTATCGAGTTTGAATGCCTCCCATTCTGCAGATGCTATATGACCCCTACGGGTTTAGCACTTTCTTCTGACTGAAACAAAAACTATTGTGAACGGCATCAGTCTCTAACTACTGGTCCATCATGTGCAATGAATAAAACGTTTCGCCTGGAAAAGGCTGTGCAAGTGTAGATTTTGTTGGATTCCGTGCAGTGACTGGAGAATGCATCTTCTGGTCGGCTTGAAACTTTCAGTGCTGATGTGTTTTCCTCAAAAGAAACTTTCTCTTGAGTTTAATCCGTGTCAGTTTTAATTTTCCAATTTCATTTATCAAATTGGTTTCTGTGAAATATTTGAAGAATGTCTCTTCTGTTTAGAAATAAGTCACAGCTGTTGACTTTATTTAGTTATCACAACTTAAATCTACTTTTAATGAACCTTCAGCATCCTGGTGTCCTCAATAACACTGTAAAAAACATTGTGTTATGTATAAAAAAAACTTTAATAAAAATTAATTACTTGCTTAAAAGTTGGTCATTCTTGGAGAAAAGTTTGGATTAATTTTGGCTTGTATAGGTAACAATACGATTTTTTTTTTAGGACATTGGAAAAAGTGGTATACTCATTATGTCATAATTTTAATGTTGCATCCGATTCACTTCAGCCTTTCAACACTGATAATGTAATAAATACAACTTCTAAGCTGCTTCAAGCTTAATTTTCCGGTGCATTTTAGAATGGTCTCGGGTGCACTGAGGTACAGGGGACCAGGGTTATGGGACACAGTTCTTGGACCGAGCAGCGACCGAAGTATATTTATTTGGCACAGTGTTTCACCCACGAGATGATTTTTTCAGGCACTCAAAAAGGGTGCACTCATGGGTGACACGTTGTACCAGTAAAGGACTTCACTGAAACTACTTTCTTGAAGAATACAAGATACTGTAACATGGCTGGAACAGCTCACAAAAAAAAAAAAAACTTACGAGAAGTGTTGACTTTCATGTCTTAGTAATTGTTAACTTTCTTTTCCAATGTGTGTTTTGTTGCGAACTGATGTCTGTTTTACCACATGTTGGCATCTCACCTACAGTTTGCAACCACTGCTTCAGATATCTCGTGGCTGGTGATGGTGCTGGCCATGATCGGCAAACTGGCCATCAGTGGCGTCTTCATGGTCGTTTTCGTCTATGAGGCTGAACTCCTGCCGACGGAGGTGCGACTCCAGGGCGTCGCTGTCATCTTCGTGGCCGGCCAGATCGCCGCCACCTGTTCTCCCTACTTAGCCGACTTCCTGGTGAATATTTCAACTTCGTGACTTTGTTTAATAGTCACAGTAAATCCTAAACTCGTAGGGAAAGTCACACAGTGCTAAGAAAATGGGAGGTAATCAGGTATATACTTGAGAAACCGGAGAGGAGCACTCATTTCTCTAATTAAGAACCCTGCACCAGTATCAAGGAACCCTCTTTGAAGGGAATAAATTAATAGATTCTGTCTGAAGGGAACCAGTCAAAAGATAAATTCTGAGAGGAACCAGTCAGTATATAGATTCATTTTGAAAGGAACTAGTCGATGGATTAAATCTCTAAGGTAGCAGTAAATGGACTGATGCTGAGAGGAACCAGTGAATAGATTAATTATGTGACGAACCAGTTCAGAGACTCGTTTTGAAATGAAGCATTCAGTAGCCAGACTCACTCTAGGCACGCTAAACTAGCAGGAAGGTAATACCTACCCACCGACAGAGTCCACTGGTACCCTGGCTGCCCTCAGTCATCTTCGGGGTCAGCTCCTTCGTCGCTGGCTTCTCCTTATTCAACCTGCCGGAGACGCGGGTATGGCGCTGCCGGACACCATCAGTGACCTCGAGGAACTCTACAAACAGAACAAGTGAGAGTTCCACATGTCTTGTGTGTTTTGTGGAGGGAGAGACGGGTGTTGAACCAGCCTTTCATTTTGTGTAGACTTTGGATTATTATTATTATTATTATTATTATTATTATTATTATTATTATTATTATTATTATTATGGGGAAACACTAAACCGTAGGGGTCATACAGGCTTGGGATATGGCAGATAATAAGATCTAATTTAAGGAAAGACAGTAGCTTCAACAATTCCTTGGATCAAGTCCCCTCACCTTGAGAGGAAGATTGGCTAATGAAATAAAAACGAAGGGAGACTGGGCAGTGTGGCTACAGTACTATGTACTTTGATGAAGAGTGCTGTGGGCTGAAAAATAATATTTGTGTGCTATACATACATACATACATAATATATATATATATATTATATATATATATATATATATATATATATATATATATATATATATATAATATATTATATATATATATGATGGGTAGGCTTCAGGATGTACATGTTTATAGAGAGGCAACTGATATATCGGATCATTATTTAGTTGTAGCTACAGTTAGAGTAAGAGGTAGATGGGATAAGAGGAAAATGGCAACAAGTAAGGGGGAGGTAAGGGTGCATAAACTAAGGGAGGAGGAAGTTCGGGTGAGATATAAACAACAACTATTGGCAGAAAGGTGGGCTGGTGCAAGTATGAGTAGTGGGGGGGTTGAAGAGGGTTGGAATAGTTTTAAAATTGCAGTATTAGAATGTGGGGCAGAAGTTTGTGGTTATAGGAGGGTGGGGCAGGAGGAAAGAGGAGTGATTGGTGGAATGATGAAGTAAAGGGTGTGATAAAAGAGAAAAAGGTAGCTTCTGAGAGGTTTTTACAAAGCAGAAGTGTTATAAGAAGAGTAGAGTATATGAGAGTAAAAGAAAGGTGAAGAGAGTGGTGAGAGAGTGTAAAAGGAGAGCAGATGATAGGGTGGGAGAGGCACTGTCAAGAAATTTTGCAGAAAATAAGAAAAAAATTTGGAATGAGATAAACAAGGTAAGAAAACCTAGAGAACAAATGGATTTGTCAGTTAAAAACAGAGTAGGGGAGTTAGTGGATGGGGAGATGGAGGTATTGGGTAGATGGTGGAAATATTTTGAGAAACTTTTAAATGTTAATGAAGAAAGGGAGGCGATAATTTCATGCACTGGCCAGGGAGGTATACCATCTTTTAGGAGTGAAGAGGAACAGGATGTGAGTGTGGGGGAGGTACGTGAGGCATTACGTAGAATGAAAGGGGGTAAAGCAGTTGGAACTGATGGGATCATGACAGAAATGTTAAAAGCAGGTAGAGGATATAGTGTTGGAGTGGTTGGTATTTTTGTTTAATAAATGTATGAAAGAGGGGAAGGTACCTAGGGATTGGCAGAGAGCATGTATAGTCCCTTTATTTAAAGGGAAGGGGGACAAAAGAGATTGTAAAAATTATAGAGGAATAAGTTTAATAAGTATACCAGGAAAAGTGTACGGTAGGGTTATCATTGAAAGAATTAGAGATAAGACAGAATGTAGGATTGCGGATGAGCAAGGAGGGTTTAGAGTGGGTAGGGGATGTGTAGATCAAGTGTTTACATTGAAGCATATATGTGAGCAGTATTTAGATAAAGGTAGGGAAGTTTTTATTGCATTTATGGATTTAGAAAAGGCATATGATAGAGTGGATAGGGACGCAATGTGGCAGATGTTGCAAGTATATGGAATAGGTGGTAAGTTACTAAATGTTGTAAAGAGTTTTTATGAGGATAGTGAGGCTCAGGTTAGGGTGTATAGAAGAGAGGGAGACTACTTCCCGGTAAAAGTAGGTCTTAGACAGGGATGTGTAATGTCACCATGGTTCTTTAATATATTTATAGATGGGGTTGCAAAAGCAGTAAATGCTAAGGTGTTAGGGAGAGGGGTGGGATTAAATTATGGGGAATCAAATACAAAACGGGAGTTGACACAGTTACTTTTTGCTGATGATACTGTGCTTATGGGAGATTCTAAAGAAAAATTGCAATGGTTAGTAGACGACTTTGGGAGGGTGTTTAAAGGTAGAAAGTTGAAAATGAACATAGATTAGAGTAAGGTTATAAGGATATCAAATGATTTAGATAAAGAAAAACTGGATATCACATTGGAGAGAGGGAGTATGGAAGAAGTGAATGTTTTCAGATATTTGGGAGTTGACTTGCCAGCGGAATGATTTATGAAGGATGAGGTTAATCATAGAATTGATGAAGGAAAAAAGGTGAGTGGTGCGTTGAAGTATATGTGGAGACAAAAACGTTATCCATAGAGAAAGAGAAGGGAATGTACGAAAGTATAGTGGTACCAACACTTTTATATGGGTGTGAAGCTTGGGTTGTGAATGCTGCAGCGAGGAGGTGGTTGGAGGCAGTGGGGATGTCCTATCTAAGGGCAATGTGCGGTGTGAATATTATGCAGAAAATTCGGAGTGTGGAAATTAGGAGGAGGTGTGGAGTTAATAAAAGTATTAGTCAGAGGGCAGAAGAGGGGTTATTGAGGTGGTTTGGTCATTTAGAGAGAATGGATCAAAGTAGAATGACATGGAGAGCGTATAAATCTGTAGGGGAAGAAAGGCGGGGTAGGGGTCGTCCTCGACAAGGTTGGAGGGAGGGGGTAAAGGAGGTTTTGTGGGTGAGGGGCTTGGACTTCCAGCAAACATGTGTGAGCGTGTAGGAGTGTGAGCAGGGCAATATTTAGTGAAGGGATTCAGGGAAACCGGTTATTTTTATATAGCCGGACTTGAGTCCTGGAAATGGGAAGTACAATGCCTGCACTCTAAAGGAGGGGTTTTGGGATATTGGCAGTTTGGAGGGATATGTTATATATCTTCATATATATGCTTCTAAACTGTTGTATCTGGGCGCCTCTGCAAAGACAGTGATTATGTGAGAGTGAGGTGAAAGTGTTGAATGATGATGAAAGTATTTTCTTTTTGGGGATTTTCTTTCTTTTTGGGTCACCCTGCCTCGGTGGGAGACGGCCGACTTGTTGAAAAAATAACACACACACACATACACACACATATATATATATAATATATATATATATATATAAATAATTATATATATATTATATATATATATATATATATATATATATAAACGTAGATTGTTGTATTTCAGGTTTAGCGAGACGAAGAAAGAAGAGGAGTTGGAGAAGTTACAAACTTAGACACCTCATCATTCTTTACTCTCATGTAATGATAGTTGTCTCTGCTTCTATAGACAATATATCATGAGCTTCTCTGGACGAAGCTTGTTATGTTCCTGTGAACACTAATATGTTTTTTTATGAATAAAATTAATATATTACTGTGAACACAACTATTTTCTGTTTGGTCAAATTTATCATTGTTCTGCTGTATGAAGCTTTGTCTCCGCCTCTGGACAAAATTAACTTAATGTTTGTCAATGAAACTTAATCTCTTCTCCTGGACAAAATTTGACATGGCTCCTTTTGGACAAAACTTCCATTTCTTACGGACGAAACTCAACCTGATTCCTTTAGACAAGACTTAATCTCGTCTGACAGACAAAACTGTGAACATCATGTAACTTAATGAGACATTAAGTCCTTTTATACAGTACAAAAAATAAAGTATTCTCACCCATCTTGTTGCTTTCATAAGCCCATGCTGCTACAACAGCATTTTAAAACAAACAGAAATGCTGAAAGATGATCGGAAAATATTGAAAATTCTCATATATGTAGTAATGTTAAATTTTCTGAGTTAAGTGAACCCTTAAATACTGCACGGCGTGATGCCAGAGCCGGTCATCTGGGAGATACAGTTTTCTCGGAACATCTAAGGTTTTCGTTTATAACTTCAGAACGTCTTATCCAATCGGCTTCAAATTTCAAACCCTGGACAGCTATTACTAATTGAAGGTTCGTAGAGTAGTTGACATATCCAGGTGGTCTCTGATCAATTTTATATAGAATATTCCCAAAAATTATTTCCACAAGATTGCTTTAAAGATCCTATTTTTAATACACGGGAATTGACACTGTTGGTATCTGGGTATTAAAACTGATACCAAGGTAATACGTAGCGTCTTACCCAGATATTAAAATTCTTAATATCTGATTTGCCAAATCTCAAAACCCACGAATTAAATCGTTTTTTACATCACGAGTATTAAAACTGCAAACGTACAGACATATCTATATATATATATATATATATATATATATATATATATATATATATATATAATATATATATATATATATATATATATATATAATATTATATATTATTGTCTTAGAACTTCATAACAACTCTTCAATATTCCTTTTGCTCTCACATAGGCAGATGAGGCTGGGTTTTTCAGATATGAGTATACTTTTCGCGGGTCGCTCACTGACTGAAACACATAGTAGTTATTATGGTGGGGATAAAAAAAATATATATTTTCTTTTCATACGTTTCTAGGGGCAAAGTTTCAATGTTTTTCTTCAAAACATCGATAAACTTTATAAAGATGCACCGCTGGAATATTAAAATTCCATTCTAAAGGAAATTATGACTAACTGTAGTGACCTGTTAATCTTTTGCTTCATAGGTAAGTATATTCAAGGATATATAATAAATTTAACACTCAACATAAGAGCAAAATACAATCAATGTGTCCTTGGTAAATATTTATACAATACAACATAATAATTTTAACATTCAGAAGGATAGAAAAATATGATGATTTTGACGGGAAGGTTTGACTTTGCAATTTTGTGACGGTAATTGTTTGGCATGGAGATTGTTTTGTAATTAGCCGCTACTAGCTGAAGAAAGGCTTGCTTCTACACCGTATCTTTTGTAACGCTCTCATTGTACTCTTTAATTAACGCTACACCTCTCACACATGACGTTAAGAAAAGAAACAGAGTTTCCTGCCTCAACACTTAGACATATCCCTCCCCCAGCAAGCAGGATCCATCTGCGGTTAACCAGTGGAGCTTTCTATGATGAAGCTTCTCATGTTCCTCGAAACAAATGATGACTGGAGAGAAGTAGCAGTTGTTATTTCTTGCATGTTAATGTCAGGGCGCTTCAGCGGGGGATCTGGACTCTAGTTTAACACTGGCATGGACCTGGTCATGGACCGGGCCACAGGGGCGTTGACATCCCCAGACACCCCTCCAGGTAGATATGTCTTGATTGATGGCGGCCTCTGCTTAGTTATCAAAGATGAACAAGCCAGCAAGTCTTTCATTCAGGCACCACGAGTGACGAGAGCTTGACGGCCTCGTTGTCAACCAAGTGTTTCAGTGGGTTACAGTCGTTTAGTGAAGCCTGAACTGCAGGTAAGAGGTGTACATCTGGCTTGAGAAGAGGTACATCTTCCAACAAACTCGCCGTCTCCCACCGAGGCAGGTTGACCCAAAATGAAAAGCGAAAGTTTCTCCTTTTAAATTTAGTGATATATACAGAAGAAAGGGTTACGAAGAGGTACATACCTCAAAGTAATGTGAACTATTTGTAGATCAACGTGAAGTGAGATTGAAGCTTCACAACTTTAAGAGAGTACATCGCCTTTAACTATCCTCTTGATCCTGTGCATGAGTGCAGTAACCATGTATACCTCCACGTGACAGTACTCATGTCATGTACGTCCCAATGGATTCCAGAAGGACTGCAATGGAACCCATTGGAAAAAGTCACTTTGAATTTTGCGTTATCCATGGTAGTTTACACATATGTTACTATGTATGATAATTATATTGTGCCAAGTGTACCCATACCTAAATAAACTTACTCCACGTTGCTTTAACACTTCCTGGAGAGCTTTGTTCACCTCATCACTGTTCCTAGAGAGCTGGAGAGTTTTGTCTGCCTAGTCACTGTTCCTGCAGAGCTTTATCCACCTCGTCATTGTTCCTGGAGAGCTGGAGAGCTTTGTCCACCTCGTCCCTGTTCCTGCAAAGCTTTGTCCACCTCGTCCCTGTTCCTGCAGAGCTTTGTCCTTCTCACCATTGTTCCTGGAGAGCTGGAGAGTTTTGTCCACCGCGTCCCTGTTCCTGCAGAGCTTTGTCCACCGCATCCCTGTTCCTGCAGAGCTTTGTCCACCTCGTCATTGTTCCTGGAGAGCTGGAGAGCTTTGTCCACCTTGTTACACTGTACTGGGTCACTATGGCAGCTGTTCGCTTATGGGTGAAGTCGTCTAGTGGTCAACAATACAGTGGAACCTCTACTTGCGAGCGCATCCACATGCGAGTTGTTATTTCAAATAGGAGCAGTTGATGGGTCAATTTTTTGCTTACATACGCGAGCAAAATTTCCATAAGCGAGCAGACCTCAAGGAAGGTGCTTTGACGCTGGTGAGGGGCTCTTGCTCTTGTTCTAGGGAATCTTATTGAAACTTGAGCAATGTATGATGGAAAGATGCTTCTTAACGTAATAATAATAATCATATGTATAATAATAATACGTATAATAATAGTATAATAATATAATACAATAATAATAATAATATAATACAATAATAATAATAATATATGTATAATAATACATATATAATAATAATGTACTACATAATAATTATAATAATAGACGTGGTATGGTTTGTTTGCAAAATCGTGTCATTACGATTTCGTGAGTCAAATAGATGACTTCAAAAGGCCGTCACTAGATGGCAGTGTTTACCACAACAAAGAGGCCGCCTACACCTTATTTATTTATTTATTTAGTAATTTTAGCATACATACAGAGGTACAAAAAAATACAGGTAAGAGCAGCATGCCAAAGCCACTTATATGCATAGCATTACGGGCTGGCTTAAAATTAACTTAAGATTAACTAAGCAATGATGTAATCAGTGATAAAACATTATTGTAAACAGATAACTATAAAGCACAAATGAGTATTACAAAGACAGGTCATATGGTTGCATGCATTGCTGTACATTCAGTAGAATGGAGTATTCTGTTAGGTAGTGTATTTAAAAAAATGACAAAGTTAGATTGGGTCCTAGGTTTAACATTTGTATGATATAATTGTGAGTAACATTTAGGATATACAATTTATAAGGTTCAGTTATTCAGTATTTATTTGGTTTTGAGTAAGTGATCTTTGAGAAGAGACTTGAATTTATAAACAGGTAGTGTTTCTTTTATATTTACAGGTAATGAATTCCAGATTTTAGGGCCTTTTATGTGCATTGAGTTTTTGCATAGCGTGAGATGGACACGAGGAACATCAAAGAGTGATCTGTGCCTTGTGTTATGGTCATGTGTTCTGTTGAGGTTGGCAAGGAGATGTTTGAGGGGAGGGTTAATATCAGAGTTAAGTGTTCTATGTATGTAATAGGTGCAGTAATAAGTATGGATGTTTTGTATGGTGAGTAGGTTGAGTGTTTTGAATATTGGTGGAGTGTGCTGCCTGTAGTGAGAATTTGTTATCATTCTAACTGCAGCCTTTTGTTGAGTAATTAGTGGTCTGAGATGGTTAATTGTTGTTGAGCCCCATGCACAAATTCCATAGGTGAGATAGGGGTAAATAAGAGAGTGATAAAGGGCCAGGAGGGCTGACTGTGGAACATAGTACCGTATCTTCGATAGTATGCCTACAGTCTTGGAGATTTTCTTAGAAATTTGTTGTATATGTGTATGAAATTTGAGTCTATTATCAAGGTGGATTCCTAAGAATTTTCCCTCTGTTAGCTTTGTGATAGGTGATCTGTTTATCGTTATGTTAAGAGGTACATCTGTAGCTCTGTTACATGACATATTTTATGCATTCTGGAGCATATATCAGGTTTCTATGTTATTTATATTGTTTATTATTTCATATTAGATGAACTGTGATTAGATAAATAAGCCGTAAAGTTGATGATAGCGAAATATTCAAGGAATATTTTGTCCTGTCTCCAGAAAAACTCTCGTCGGCCGCCGCCACTGCCACATATATGACATATTTTATTAATTTTAGAGTATATATCAGGTTTCTATGTTATTTACAATGTTTGTTATGTCATATTAGATGAACTGTGATAGATAAATAAGCTGTAGAGTTGATATTAGCGAAATTATTGAAGTACAGAAATCCACTGGAACGGATTAATTGCATTTCAATTAATTTAAATGAGGAAAATTGACGGCAAACGAGCAAATTCAGTTGCGAGCAAGGTCATGGAATGGATTAAGCTCGCAAGTAGAGGTTCCACTGTATATATATATATATATATATATATATATATATATATATATATATATATATATATAATATATAAAAGGATTATTTGGTGTTCTGGTAGCGGGGAGTAAATGATACGTCTTTGGAGGCTTCTTACTTTATTAAGTCGTGGTGGGTACACAGGCTTGTGTGTTGTGCCCATGGCCCGGGCAGGGCCATCCCACGACAGAGAGCTGCTAGTAGGCCTTGTGTCTTGCTGCCAGGCTACTGTGAGAGTGAGAGCGAGGCAAGGGCAGGCAGGCTACCATGCCCACCGAGAGGCCTGGCTACAGAGGGCAACACTTGAGTGGCGCAAAATATGAACTAAGCTGGCAGACAGCATGGGCTGTCTGTGCAGACAGTACAGGCTGTCTACATATGCTCGGCCACCTACCGCGCGTCGTCCCGACGCGACAATACTGGTGGTAAAAGAAACTCGGT